AAACAGAATTCGGATCCAGCTTGCAACCACATTGGTCGTGTGCTTTATCTGCTCCGCATGGAACCCCACAATTAACTTCTTTAGGATGGTTTGATAATTCTGTAGGCAGGTGATCATATTTTGTTCAGTTCTACAGGTGGTTGTTAATAGAGTCATTTGGATAGCACACAAACGATGGTAGAGATTTTAATAGCTGACGAGGGGATTTAGCTATACAACTCAATTGTGATATTCACATTTACAGGAGTTGTGTATCCAAATTCTGGCGCTAGTTTCAAAAGTCTCATCCTATGGCTTCATCCTATTAAATTCTATAGGCTTTTTCCATGAGGGTTGCCCAATCTGATTTATAACCATTCAAGAAAAACATTTAGTACATCTGGAACCTTCACTGCTACTGTACATTCATGCTATTGTGTGTCTTGCCAGGATAATGCTATTCAGACATTTTCTGGCCCATTAATGGTTACCTGCAAATTATTGTTTTACACTTAGATCTCTGGTCAGTAATGATGTGTCCTGAATGCCCATCATAGCCAGGCAATTATTTTTAATTATCTTAAAGCTTAACACAAAGGAAGACACTGGGCTGGATTATGCCCAAGCCCATATGAGAACAAAGGGTGATGAGTAGGGAGTACGGGGGTTCCTGGATCCCATAATGCACCCGTGCAGGGCCAGGCACAATCCCAGTTCTTATGCTCAAAGAACAGAGACTACGAACACCTAGCTCCACGAGCAATACTAGACTCCCCAAAGTATACTGGAAGGAGGTAGGACCACAGTATTAAATACATTCAACATATTCCTACAGCTGAGGGAACTCTTAAAATTTTTCGTAGGTCACCATAATGTACACATTCAAGTACAGGTGGCAGAAAAAGAAAAAAAAAAAAAGACAGCAGCAGCTCTAGCCACACGTTGAAGGTATTTTTGGATACGTCGTCTAACGTGCTTTATTTACTGATCCACTATGGCATTATGTGGCCTTGTAACTCTTGAGATTTGTTTGCTCTGCTCTGCATCTCTCTATTTCTAAGGTGTATGCTTCCCGCCTGCAGAGGCAGCTGTCATTCTGCAAGCTGCTGCAGCTCCTTACAAAGGAGAAGCATGCGGCCACTTTCGATCATCCTCCGTTTGTTGCTTCCCTTGATCTAAAATAAGAGGCCCTTTGGAATGAAAGTCTGCGGCTCTTCTTTGGTATGGAAAGACACAATATCCCTGACTTCACTGCTTTTGTGTATGTGGGGCTCTGGTGTTATGTGCGGTGTGTTAGAATAACAAGCCTACCTCTCCCTGGATCACTGGTTACTAGGCCAACATTCTTCCCCAGCAGAAAGCTCAAATCAATTCTGTTATGCTGCTGGGAATTTACTGCTTGTTCCTTTCGCTGCTACCGATGTAACCACCTGGTGTAACCCACATGCTTTATACTGCAGCATTTTAATTTGTTTCTCTTGTGGAGGAGGAGACAGGCGGTGGGGGATGAGGAGACATGAATCTTATCCAGATACTCTGTCTCTCTGCACAGATGCAGAGAACAGGGCAGGGCAACTCAGGTGGAAGGATCCAGGTTCTTCCAGAATGGGGTGGAAGAGTTACCAGATATGCTCAGTAGCTGTTCTGAGACTATAGGAATTTTTTTCATTGTGGTCACCACACCTGACAGGTCATACCCGCGTCACCCTCTGAATGCTGAGCCAATCGGAGTGGAAAGGGTGGGGGAAGATTATAGAGGAGTTAAAAACAGCCCTGTAGACTCAGCAGCTAATGGATACAGGACCAAAAGATGTGTCTGCTGTGAGGGATGAGTCCCTTTCCTTTTGCCACTTTGGATACGGGGCAGGGCTATTCTAGCTGTATTTACTAGGGAAGGCTAATGTTTGGTCCACCATGGTGTGTTTTGTGGGCATAAACAGAGAGCTGGTAGGGGATCATTTGTTACCCCTACATGCTACAGAGTCTGTGGACCTACATTTAGCTACATATTACCTAACTGCTCTAAACTTGGATTCTATCTCAGTTAGAGAGAGAGAAAATGGGGTAACATTTCAGCAAAGAGTTAAGTTGAGGTGCAGGAAGAAGGTAAGTGAACAGTTATACAGAATATTGCCTGTACAGCTCCATCCTCCCACTACGCTTGCAAAGGCTGATCAGTCATAATTAACAATATCCTTTCCTCTCTCCCACTTAAAAAAAATAGTTAAGTTGTTATACCTCCGCAAACTGAAACAGTGCTGACTCCTCTGTTTGTTTTGCAGCCGCCGGGGCATCAGGTTGTGATGGGCTTGAAGAGAGCTGGAGGGAAAAACAATTATTTTGTATATAATCATCTCTAGCTTCAACATTCTACACTTCTAATACTGAAATGTACAAAGACTCCCTGTATCCAAGACCATGCAGATAACTGTACTGTCAAGAGTACTTGGCTTTCTTAAGGGGCTAATAAAAGGTAATCTGTTAGGAGTAATTACATCACTTTCACTATTAAAATCACCATGAGAATGAATACAACATAATAGATTTTTAAAGAGCTTTTCCTGCTTCACCGAATAGTCAAAATAAAAAAGTAACACCACCTCATGTTTCAGAGTTCAGTGAAAGGGGTATTTCACTGCAGTATGCTGGCATTTAAAAAGCACAATAAACCACTTAGTTTGGAATGTGTGTGGATGCAGACATCGTAACAGCTGCACAAAACCAAAGCGAGGCACTGGATAAATGCCAGTAGCCATAGCCATAGATGCTGTACTTTGTAATCGGAATTTCTGATTAACATTGGGTTTGGATAGCGATTTATTTTCTACTGCCACAAATGCCTGCAATGTAACCAGAAGCATGTTTTAATTTCCAAGGAAATTAAAACAGGCCAACAAATAGGCATCTGAGATGAAGCATATATGAGTAGCTTCCAACTTGCTCACCTTACACAAGATGGATGTGCAGATGTGGCAGTGGATTAGCACCCTACCCTGCCACTGGGTAAGGAAAAGCCAATGGGATTTAGTAAGGTGGTGGTAAGTGATCTTATTACTGGCTGGCAAACTGAGTTTCCCCTCCCCTCGAAAGTGAAGCCATTAGCTTTTAAAAATTCAATATTATACATTTTATTCTGGCTGTTATCTTTCCCGATACATTAAGGATCTGTCTATTCATGTATTTCAGGAGTTTTGAGATCTTAGCTTGAAACCTTGGGTTTTGTGGATTGAAGTTAAGATATGAGCATTCATTTATTTTGGGGGTGCAGGAAGAGAGGGAAACATTATTAGCACTAAAAGACAGGAGGCTCAGATCCACAGCTGGTGTAAATCGGCAAAGCTTGATTATCTTCAGTGGAGCTAGAGTGATTTAGACCAGCTAAGGATATGGCCCCAGTGCGTCTGCTTTAACTAAATGTCTTTGCTTATGGGTTTTTTTTTTTTAATGGAGATATCCCATCTCCTAGAACTGGAAGGGACCTTGAAAGGTCATCGAGTCCAGCCCCCTGCCTTCACTAGCAGGACCAAGTATTGATTTTGCCCCAGATCCCCAAGTGGCCCCCTCAAGGATTGAACTCACAACCCTGGGTTTAGCAGGCCAATGCTCAAACCACTGAGCTATCCCTCCCCCCGAGCTGTACGGAACTTAGCCACGCAACGCCCCCTACAGTTCTCAAGATTTCCACAGCTCACATATTTATATGTGTGTGTGATTTCATTATTTACAATCATTTTAACAAATCAGAAAAACATTTTATGAACTCAAATGAGCCACGGATGTTCAGTGAGGGCTGAAGTTCTTTGGGAATGGTGTACTGTTCATAAAAGACATTTGCAGCATATAGCATCTACTGCAGATGTTCCAATATATGCCCTACATACCAAACAATAGCAGCTGCAGAACTTTTGAAGAGTTTGGTTCAACTGAATACTCAGCCTAATAGCCTTATATTGGTAGCTCACATTTCCTGCTGTTTTATATTTTTGAAAAATAACAGATTAATCTCCAGGCATGCAAAAAGATACATTTTAAAAATAGTGCTTAACAGAATATCAAAACTGAAATGAGAAGAAAATTTCACCCTGCAACAAATCAATGAATGTACCAATCCTTTGGTGCTGGGCTAGGATATATGCCAAGTTTAAGCCCAAACGGGAACTTTGTTGCCAAACTACAATATCCTGAAAATTGGGAGTTTCTAACAAACTCCAGGTGATCATTAACCTGAGACCCTTCCTGGCTGTTAGCAAAAGAGAGCCCGCTTTATTGACAGACTCTCAAAGGACTTAAACATGTTCAAGAAGTCAAGTGAAGTCATCCTCTGGAATCAAACTGCCATATGTGAAACCAAAAGGAAGCGCTGCTGGTATGTAATGAAAGGAGTCAGGGAAAGGGATATATAGTACAAAGTCTGCCTTCTAGGACAGTTGAAAATTCAGGACCTAATCCACACAAGACTTACTCTGTCCTCAGTGGGACTACTCACAAGTCTATAGTGACTGAGGCGTATAAGACTTTGCAGGAATGGGCCTGGAGTGTTTGGTCAGCTCTGTGGCTGTAGAATAAAGGAAGACTGTGGAGCATCCACAGGCTGTCAGAAGCAATACAATCACTTTTGACTCAGTCAACTGCTAAAATGATTACACTGGCTCAGACATATCATTTAACTATACAGAACTCTATCAAACCCTTGGCTTGTAAGTAAAGAGCCGTGTCAGCTAAGGCTATTCCTGCACCACATCGAACCGAATGCTTCTTTGAACACTATTACAGTGTTGTGTTTAGGGTTTCCATCATGCGCTATATACACTTTTCTGCAGCTCAAGTCTGGCTTCCCCAACTGGCTTCCCCATAAATAACAGGAATGGAGGGAGGGAAGCATGTAGCTGAAAACATTTGAGTCAAAGCTTGTCTTCTTCAGCTAAAGGGTTTGGGATTTCTTAAAAAAAAAATTGTGGAAAAAAATCATCCTGTTACTTTTGGAAACTCACCTCTGCAAACTGGAACAATGGTGACTTCTGACATGCTTCAGTAGAATTAGATGCATCAGACTGGCAAGTACTTGAGGAAACCTGAAACAGTGATGACAGGGAATAAAACATCAATGACATGCCAGTAAAGACAGCAGCAATATCTAGTAACAAGAAATACGGTGCAGCAGCACCAACAGCATTCAGAAGCAGTGTTTAACAGAAGATGGACAACCTGAGGTTTCATAATCCTGAATACACAGAAGTGAATGGAAATAAAGGTGAGGGCAGTACTATAGAATCCTTTTTAATACACCTCACAATGGTTTAAACAGCAGTTAGGCCCAAAATATGATGTTTGGTTTTGATTTTAAACTTCACAAAAGGTTTTATGAAACCAAATATTAAAAGGACAGTCTCAAATTAAAAATACATATGACTTGTGTTGGTCACACTACACCTCCTATTTGAAAATTTGTTATGGAGAAAAAGTTAGATTATTCCAAAAGCAAAAGCACAACCCACACCATTTCAAAAACTGATTAAGTATGCTAAGCACGCACACACACACACACACACACACACACACACCCACCCCCCCCACTGAGGGACTCCCTCCCCCACCAGTAAATTTTTAAATCGCCAGATTAAATCTTCTTAATGCAGG